AGTTAACTGCCCATGCCAAAAAGTTCAGAGCCCGTGGGCTGGGCCTGTGGCTGGGAAACCCTCTCTTGTTGCTGAGAAACCCGGGAAGAGACGAGGGGCAGAGGAGATGGCTGAGATACCCGGGAAGAGGCAAGGGGCATAGGAGATCGCTCAAATGATAAAGAAATATGGTGAGTTTTAATATTTGAGAACTGTTCTATGTCTCAGTTTAGCTCTCCTCTTTAATGTGATTATGATTGTTCATTGAAGGTCACCACTTTATATGTCTGTTCACTCTTGCTACCTAAAGGTCTAAAGAATTATAATAGTTTTTAGGTTTTTTCTTTAGTATTTAGTGTATTAGGTACTCTGCTTCATTGAAGATGAGAAATGAACAAAGGAAAATTTCCAATACTCGGTGAAATATCTCCTTGGGTAAATTAACAGATTTTTTATCATTTTTTCTGTTTACTATTTACAATCTCAATTCACACCACAAATTATCATGTGAAAAGACTACCAATATTATAAATTTTTAAAGCTGATCCTTAACCAATGATATCATAAAGAGATCTAGTTATTATGTTGCAGTGTTCAGGTTTCTTAACTATGTAACATATTACTCCGGAATCTAAGAGCTATGTGTTATTTATTTTTATTTTTTTATGGGCAGGAATGGAGGTGGTCCATGAGTTAACTGCCCATGCCAAAAAGTTCAGGCCCCCGTGAGCTGGGCCTGTGGCTGGGAAACCCTCTCTTGTTGCTGAGAAACCCGGGAAGAGACAAGGGGCAGAGGAGATGGCTGAGAAACCTGGGAAGAGAGAAGGGGCAGAGGAGATCGCTCAAATGATAAAGAAATATGGTGAGTTTTAATATTTGACAACTGTTCTCTGTCTCAGTTTAGGTCTCCTCTTTAATGTGATTATGATTGTTCATTGATGGTCACCACTTTATATGTCTGTTCACTCTTGCTACCTAAAGGTCTAAAGAATTATAATAGTTTTTAGGTTTTTTATTTAGTATTTAGTGTATTAGGTACTCTGCTTCATTGAAGATGAGAAATAAACAAAGGAAAATTTCCATTACTCAGTGAAATATCTCCTTGGATAATTAACAGATTTTGTATCATTTTTTTTGTTTACTATTTGCAATCTCAATTCACATCACAAATTTTCATGTGAAAAGAATACCAATATTATAAATTCTTTAAAGCTGAACCATAACCAATGATATCACAAAGAGATTTAGTTATTATGTTGCAGTGTTCAGATTTTCTTAACTATGTAACATATTACTCAGGAGATTTCTAAGAGCTATGTGTTATTTATTTTTATTTTTTTATGGGCAGGCATAGAGGTGGTCCATGAGTTAACTGCCCATGCCAAAAAGTTCAGGCCCCCGTGGGCTGGGCCTGTGGCTGGGAAACCCTATATTGTTGCTGAGAAACCCGGGAAGAGACAAGGGGCAGAGGAGATGGCTGAAAAACCCGTGAAGAGACAAGGGGCAGATGAGATCGCTCAAATGATAAAGAAATATGGTGAGTTTTAATATTTGAGAACTGTTCTCTGTCTCAGTTTAGGTCTCCTCTTTAATGTGATTATGATTGTTCATTGAAGTTCACCACTTTATGTGTCTGTTCACTCTTGCTACCTAAAGGTCTAAAGAATTATAATAGTTTTTAGGTTTTTTCTTTAGTATTTAGTTTATTACGTACTCTGCTTCATTGAAGATGAGAAATGAACAAAGGAAAATTTCCAATACTCGGTGAAATATCTCCTTGGGTAAATTAACAGATTTTGTATCATTTTTTCTGTTTACTATTTGCAATCTCAATTCACACCACGAATTTTCATGTGAAAAGAATACCAATATTATAAATTTTTAAAGCTGATCCATAACCAATGATATCATAAAGAGATCTTGTTATTATGTTGCAGTGTTCAGGTTTCTTAACTATGTAACATATTACTCAGGAGATTTCTAAGAGCAATGTGTTATTTATTTTTATTTTTTTAAGGGCAGGCATGGAGGTGGTCCATGAGTTAATTGCCCATGCTAAAAAGTTCAGGCCCCCGTGGGCTGGGCCTGTGGCTGGGAAACCCTCTCTTGTTGCTGAGAAACCCGGGAAGAGACAACGGGCAAAGGAGATGGCTGAGAAACCCGGGAAGAGACAAGGGGCAGAGGAGATCGCTCAAATGATAAAGAAATATGGTGAGTTTTAATATTTGAGAACTATTCTCTATCTCAGTTTAGGTTTCCTCTTTAATGTGTTGAAGGTCACCACTTTATATGTCTGTTCACTCTTGCTACCTAAAGGTCTAAAAAATTATAATAGTTTTTAGGTTTTTTCTTTAGAGTTTAGTGTATTAGCTTCTCTGCTTCATTGAAGATTAGAAATGAACAAAGGAAAATTTCCAATACTAAGTGAAATATCTCCTAGGGTAAATTAACATATTTTGTATCATTTTTTCTGTTTACTATTTGCAATCTCAATTCACACCACAAATTTTCATGTGAAAAGAATACCAATATTATAAATTCTTTAAAGCTGAACCATAACCAATGATATCACAAAGAGATCTAGTTATTATGTTGCAGTGTTCAGGTTTACTCAGGAGATTTCTAAGAGCTATGTGTTATTTATTTTTATTTTTTTATGGGCAGGCATAGAGGTGGTCCACGAGTTAACTGCCCATGCCTAAAAGTTCAGGCCCCCGTGGGCTGGGCCTGTGGCTGGGAAACCCTCTCTTGTTGCTGAGAAACCCGGGAAGAGACAAGGGGCGGAGGAGATGGCTGAGAAACCCGGGAAGAGACAAGGGGCAGAGGAGATCACTCAAATGATAAAGAAATATGGTGAGTTTTAATATTTGAGAATTGTTCTCTGTCTCAGTTTAGGTCTCCTCTTTAATGTGATTATGATTGTTCATTGAAGGTCACCACTTTATATGTCTGTTCACTCTTGCTACCTAAAGGTCTAAAGAATTATAATAGTTTTTAGGTTTTTTCTTTAGTATTTAGTGTATTAGGTACTCTGCATCATTGAAGATGAGAAATGAACAAAAGAAAATTTCCAATACTCAGTGAAATATCTCCTTGAGTAAATTAACAGATTTTGTATTATTTTTTCTGTTTACTATTTGCAATCTCAATTCACACCACAAATTTTGATGTGAAAAGAATACCAATATTATAAATTCTTTAAAGCTGATCCGTAACCAATGATATCATAAAGAGATCTAGATATTATGTTGCAGTGTTCAGGTTTTCTTAACTATGTAACATATTACTCCGGATAATTTATAACATGAAATACTTCTGTTTCACAAGTTGATTTTTTTTCCTAACAATGATGGTGAGATATGTTCAAACTTCTCCTGTTTCTTTTTGTTAGCCATTTAAACCCTACATTGCTTGGGTGTTGGGATTGTTTGAATCTATGTTTTAGTAGTAGAGAAGGAAATGTAAGGGTTTTAGGAGAGATCTTCCGCAGTTAATGCAATGGTTTTTTATTTTGTAAACGTTTGCAGTGGTGATGGATTATTTGCTTACTACTAATCTTTATCTTTACTTTGTATATGAAACAGAAGCTGAAAGCAGAACAAGGACCAAAGGTTTTATTGTATTTTTTAATCGATTAGTGCTAATGGCTAACCAAGTGTCCACAGAGGTTGATCTAGGGAGTAAAGGGAGCAAGATCAAGATCATTGGTAGCTTCTACTCTTTTACTCTTGTATTAAGTTCTAGCTTCTACTTCTGTTTTTAATCTTTATTTTTTATAAAACAGAGAAGTCAGAGGAGATCTCTAAAAATGAAAGAGAAATATGGTAATTTCTTACTATTCTAGAGATAGTGTTGTGTTATTATATTACTACTAACTACTAATATTTACTTTTTATAAAAACAGAAGTTGAATGCATAGAAAGGAACCGAGATTTAGTTGTGTTTGTAGAAAAATTAATGATACTGTTTATTGAAGCGTCCGAACTAAAGTCAGTTAAGAGCAACAAAGATTCGGTTTCTGGAATGTCCGGTAAGGAACCGAGATTTAGTTCTGTTTGTTGAAATTAGTGATTCTCTAAATCTTCTAATCTCTTTATTTTCAAACAGAAGATAGGGTGGCCCAACAAGGTGATGGAGAAGGTGAAGTAGGGGCAAACCCGGGCTTTATTGTGTTTAAACTTTTTGAGGACTTCTTCAACCGCTGGCGAAAAGGACCACCAACAAGCTAGCCAAAACCTGCTTTGAATGTGTTTTACATTTTTTCTTTTTCAATATCAGAATCGTTTTTACGATAACAGTTATCCGGATTTACCGAATTTGCTGAAAGTAAGTTTTGATGAGATCTTGTATTCTTTGTGTAGTTTGTATTTCCTTTTGTGTTCATTATTGTTTCAATATTTTGCTCCTAATCTGTTCATTATTCTTAGTGCTTGCACTGCTTCATCCGCTTGCAGTAAAACAGTTCTTGTAGTGCCTTTTTCTTTACCTAAAAAAAAAAAAAAAAAAAAAAAAAAAAAAAAAAACAACAACACTCAGGATGTATGCAACCTGTCAGCAACTTCAAGCTCAAGCACAGGTTCACGCTTTGAGCTTTACTTACCAGTTGTCTTCTTGAAATTCTTGAATTGTTGGTATTCAAAAGAATTAAAAACTTTTTAACATGAAATTGAGCTTTGAGCTTCTTAGTACTTGCACTGCTTCATCCGCTTGCAGTAAAACAGTTCTTGTAGTGCCTTTTTCTTTACCTAAAAAAAAAAAAAAAAAACAACACTCAGGATGTATGCAACCTGTCAGCAACTTCAAGCTCAAGTACAGGCTCACGCTTTGAGCTTTACTTACAAGTTGTCTTCTTGAAATTCTTGAATTGTTGGTATTCAAAAGAATTAAAAACTTTTTAACATGAAATTGAGCTTTGAGCTTTACTTACAAGATGTCTTTTAGCAGGGGCTTGATTTCTTGAAGATATGGTGATGTGGATTTCTCCTCAAAAAGGCCAGTAGTTGGCTGCTAGATAGTAGAGAGATGGGGGTCCATGTATGGCTGAGGAGAGCCTTTCTGTTGGCCAACTCGCAACAGGGATTCAAGGGATTGACAGTTTGATATCGAGCTCTGATCCCATAGTTGATGAGTATATCCAAGCCCTCAACAGAGGTCCACGAGGGGGCGGGGTTGCTGCCATAGTTGATGAGCTACCTTACATTGAGGTTTTCTTGTCCAGCACCAACTGCAATTACAGGATTGTTGGGCAGGAGTTCACCAAGAGTGGATGGGGCTTTGTAAGTCACCAAGCTTCATATTGCAGATGAGTTCTGTCAACAATTTATAACTGACCTTTCGGTTTTGGTTTCCCAGGCATTTCAAAGAGACTCCCCTCTGGCTGTAGATATGTCAACTGCAATCCTGCAACTCTCTGAGAAAAGAGAACTCCAAAAAATCCACGACAAATGGCTCCCCAGAGATGATTGCGCGATCCAAGACAACCAAATTGATGACAACCGGCTTTCCCTCAAGAGTTTCTGGGGCCTGTTTCTGATCTGCGGTGTGGCTTGCTTCATTGCTCTTCTGTTGTTTTCCTGCAGGGTGTGCTGGCAGTATCGCAGGTATACACCCGAGGCTAGGGAACAGGAGATCCCTGCTACGCCTGAGCCCGGGCCATCCGACAGCTGCAGCCTTCAAGGCCTGATCAAATTTGTTGATCAAAAAGAAGCTGAAATTAAAGAAATCCTGAAAAAGAAGGCCACTAGTGAAAACAAGCCACAACTTACTCAAAGCTCAGATGTGCAGGAAAGTGCACCCTGAGAATGACATTCAGCAGGCTTTGTCACACTTGTTTTTGTACATGATCCATACAATTCCTTGCACTCATCTAATCACTGCCCCATGTCACATCAGATTTGTTCTGTAGGGATAGCAGAATGTGTTTACACCTTTGTAGGAAAATATAGATGAAACTGGCAAAAAGATTTGTAATTTTGGTTGGCAAGGTGCACAAGATTCCTGCATCAGACAAGTCAAAACTGGGAAGAACTGCCTTGATGTTTCACAGGGAATGGTTTCTGTTTCTTCTTGGGAAGAGAATGATTTGTACATTGTAGATTCAATCAAACATGAATGTTCAACAACAAAATGAAATCATGAATAAGAGTCATTAAGTTGTCAACTTCTTCAGTAACTTGTTGGGAGAAAGGGGAGGGGGGAGGATTGCTGTTGTTTTTATTCTCATTTATACATATATATATGAACAAATAGAAGTGAAACACTAGGAATTCTTGATACTGGGAATCTTTATTGCTCAAAATTGTGAAAATGACATTTTACTGATAATAGAAACAAGACAATAGTGTATTCAGTATTTTTGGTACAGAAACCTTGTCATAGACAAGGATTGGGGCACAGGAAGGAAAAGACTCTAATATCGACTTGAGTTTAGAAGACGCTTCACTCAAGTTTTACTTCCCTCTTCGGTGGATCTAACTGCAGATAAGTGAATGACTTGAGTTTAGAAGACGCTTCACTCAAGTTTTACTTCCCTCTTCGGTGGATCTAACTGCAGATAAGTGAATGGCTCCGTGGGCTCTTCCCTGCAAACCAAATGAAAAATTAATCACAAGGAGTTCAAGTTCATGATATCAGTAGTAAGCATACTTTCAAGTTTCAATTTAGCTATCTTCCATCTGACCCAATTCGGAGTTTCAAGTTGAACCTCCTGATATATCTTCTCTATTATCCTTGTTTTTAAAGTACACATACTACATCACAGTTCAGTCTAATTTTAGAAGGGCACTCAAGTATAAAAGCTTAAAGATAAGGAAGATCCTTCTCAACAGCTAGCCATGCACACAGATTGTCACATTCTTGCCACAATAAAATGATTTTAGAAGAATTGCAAAAAGTGTCTGACAGTTTCAAGGAAAATTTTAAACTTTCTTATGGAGTATTTCTATAAGTTCCACACTAGAACATGTGTAATGTGTTGTACTGTTGTATGAAAAAGTGTTTGATGGCTTCGAGGAAAGTTTTAAACTTCCTTATTTCTATTAGGTCCACACTAGAGCATGTGTTGTATCATGTACGTGAAAGTGTTTGACGGCTTCAAGGAAAGTTTTAAACTTCCTTATGCTACTAGTCCATAACCCTTTCAACTTTTCAAGAATATTTGAAGAAAAGATTCCAATTTTTCCTCTTTTCTGCAGGATACACGGTCCATGCACCTCTTTATCAATATTTTTCCATGTCCTAATATGCTGATGTAATAAATTGGAACCGTTTTAAGACTGTTAACAAAACTTGAACAAAATCTCAAAGAAACAAAAATGAGCAACTTCATGAAAAGTCAACTAAAGTGCAGAAAGATTGATTATCATACCCAGGCTTAGAACGCATACACTGCCAGAACAACTTGAAAGGACCAGGAACTGTTTTGAACGGGTTCCCTTCAAAACATGCCTGCAGAATTTTGACCCAAAAAAAAATGTTAATGTATTAGACAAATGGTAGAAGGAAGATGAAGCAAACTTTTAAGGCCAGCCAAGTTAATCTAGAATCCATGGCCCCATAGAAACATCTAAACAATTAAATAGCTTTAAGACATCTGAAGATAATAAAATTACACAAAGAACTTCTAAAATATACTATAATAGGCCCTAAAGAAGAATTATTAAATCGCATAATTGTGAGGGATGAAGGATACAGTAGCATTCATGGTTGAAATTCTTCCTCTAATCATACATTTTAGTTGAGTAGATTATAGAAGATGGGCAGATCCATTATTTTACAAGCTTAATCATAAAAGGTTTCCAAAATTCATTCCAAACTTCCAGTTTTATATTTAATTATAATCCATAACATCACTTTTAATGTTTTAACTTGTTCGGGCTACATCTTAGGGGGAGGCATCCCCTGGCCAATTCAACGAAGGGTTATTGGATTTTCGTTCTGTTTTCACACTAATCAGCAGTATGCAGTGTTAAGTTCACAACATAAAGTGAAATGTCCACCAGATCATTGAACTAGCCAATGAAACAAAACAACTTAACTACTAAACTTCTTAGGACTACTAGAACAAGTAAAGAGTCACAGCTCACAACATCCATCAATTCCTGTAACAAACCCATCAAATATGCAATGGTTCGAAAGTATCAAAGTTACTTCCGCCTTCCCACTCATGCATTATTCAATCCCTTCCAATCTTCCATTCACAATATTTTCTCCTCTTTAATTTAGTTAAATGCTTTCCAGGAGGGTCGGGAAAGATGTAGAAGTTTGATTGGATTAAGAACTAATTGGTCAAGTTGTGGCTAATGATGAAAAAACAAAAATGACTTATTTTGACTGTGTGCAAACAGGCACTTCAATGTTATAGCCTTATAGATGTATGAAAACAGTTCATTTCATAACTTTTCTTTTGGTGATGAACAAGAGAGCAAGGATTTACATGTATATTTTAACCCTTTGAAATTACAATCCAGACTAAAGCTATTAATATAAAGAATACCTTTTTATTTCTTTTTCATGAACTGAGTATTCTTCCCAACTAGAACAAGGAATGTCAAGGCAAATTATACAATGGACCAACTATGGGCCATGCTTCAAAATGACATTTAAATTATGTGCATGCAGTTAACATATTACGTGCCACATGCCACATAATTTATTAACTGTGGCGACATAATATTTTAAATGTAGATCCATACTATGTTAATCAATTGTAGTAGATAGATAATTTATTAATTGATGTTAACTAGTCACATAATTTGAATGTTGTAAGGTGATCCAAACAATTGGAATGTCAAGCACTTGGTTTTACCACTCTACAGACGCCCAATTCCAAATCCAAACAATAAACAAAATGCATCCAACCAAAACATTGCATATATTGGAAAAGGGAATTCAAAAAATCTGAGAAACCAAACAATTTCATTCAAGCGTTTCAACAAACAGAAAGAAGGCAAAGATTTAAAGAGGGTTTAAGGAGGAAGATGAATTACTTGGATGACATCCTCAGCACGGTCGTTGCATCGGTGAGGCTTTGGCTGTCTTGTGTCGCCTTCTGGTAAACCCCTAAATTTACTACTCAGAATTGTAAAGCATAATCACATAAATAAAACACATTTAATAGCAACATAACATAAATCAAAGCAAGATAAATGAAGGAAAACTTCTCTATTGTAGAATCTAAGTTGAGGTAGGGAGAATCCACCCAAATCCAAAAGTGTAGAATAAAAAATAGCACAATTTCTTCTCGAGAAAAGAGTAAAATCTAAGTTAAACCTATCTAGGATTTGTAGAGAGAACTATTATATGTCCGGCTGGCTGCCTATGCGTGCATTCGCCTCCACGCCAAGGTCTCTGGCTTTGCTCCTTTTGCGCGCCCCCGGTCTGCTTCTTTATGCTCTTTTTAATGTCTTTTTTCTCCTTTTTGATATACTTTTGTTTCCTTTTGATAATTTCTCTCTCCAAAGTGCAATTGGATGAAATTGAGCATAAAACACATCTTTTAATTTAGTTCGAAAATTCAATAAAACACTTTAAATTGAGCATAAAAAGGGGTTAAGAACATGGTGAAATATAACATAAAATAAGATTATTTATCAACCTGCATCGTAAGAATATATCCTTAGATGCCACCATCTGTTTGCAAACAAAAGTTCACCGGGTTTTGGGATGTGCAACTTCATTGCCATTTTCACCACTATTGTTATTGTTATCCCCGGCCACTATTAACTGGAAAATTTGGGGAAGACATTTTTTACTATGGGAAATAAGGAAATAAGGTACGATTTTAAGTTTGTTGGAAATAATTCGAAAATACAAAAACAAAAGGTTCGAGTTTTTAAATTTGAGTCGTGTGACAATCACACTTTCCTTAAAACCTTAATTATTTGTTACATCTCAAGGTGCTAGGAGTGTCTTATTGTCCCACTGCTTGGGCTACCAATTTTCCTTTGTATTATACAATTCAAGTTCCTTCTAAAGAAAATTGTATATATACTAGTGCAAACTCACATATATTTTCAATATGGGAAGAAAGCTTCTTCCGAAGTCTTCCCATCTCCATTTTTTTTTTTAAACTCAAATAGGTCTATTTTGAGACTCAATTTCTCATTTTCCCATTATTCATTTTGACTGTACAATATAATATATCATTTCCTTCATCACACGAAAGAACCCGAATCCACTTTAGACGACCCAAACCGAAACCTATAAACAGATAAAAAACAAATAATATGATATTAGCAAATTAAGAATCACAAAAAAAAAAAAAAAAAAAAAAAAGTTTATGCTTTGAATTTTAAGTTTTTATTTTATTTTATTTTATTTTATTTTATTTTATTACGTTTCTAATTCTTGAATTTGTTCATGAGTGTATCGGGGCTGGCGATTTGTTCCCTGTTGATTCGTTGGTTCATCGGTATCAACCATAACACCACCGGGATGGGTGGCGGCGTTGGCGGTAACCGCCGTCGGCATTACAGCTTCCGATGCGTTTGAAGCCATCTCCCATGGCTGATTTCTACCACCCAAATTGCTAGTTGACTGTAAAAAAGGGCAAAATTAAAGTTTTTAATTAAGCTTTACTTCTGAATTCTGATAATTATTTCGTGTTATTCATTATTTTAAATATATAGAGAATATACATAATAATTAAATAAAAAAATATAATCATATAATTTGATAATAATATGTTAGTTGTCTAGTGGTATGAAATGATTCTTTTAAATGAATGAAAGGTTATAGGTTCAAGCCCTATTGAGGTGCAGATGGTATAAATTGTAGTTATAAAGAAAAAAAATACATTTTTATATTTCATTATAATTAATTCTAGAAATAGTCCCTCAGCTATTGATGTTTCTTAATTTTTATACACAATTTTCAATTCAACTATATAGAAAAAATTATTTGAAGTATTAATTCTATTGTTTGGTCAGTGAAAAATAAGTTGTTAAGAATTATTAGTATAAAAACTAAAATATCCTTATATGTGAGGATAATATAAAAATTCATGTCGTATCTTTTCTCCCAAAAAGCGTAAAAAATAAAATATATAGGGAGATTAAGATATTATTTTATTTTTTTCGAAAATTGAGGAATTCATTTCACGTAATAAATTCTCCAATAATCAAATAAGGTAAAATCTATTTTTCTCCTATTTGAGAAACGTAATATATTCTCCTATAACCAAACAAGAAAATGTATATGTTTTTCTCCCATTTAAGAAACATAATAAATTCTCCTGTAGCCAATGTTGCAGAAGGCGCTAGGCGCTAGGCGCTAGTCGGGCGTCGAGGGTGCGCCTAACGCCTAGAGCGCCTCCTAGACGGTTGAGTAATTCGAGTATATCGTTTCCACTTTTTTTCATTCAGGGTTGTGAGTTGTTAGACTGTTATACTCCCACAAACTAGTCAATAATTACATATGTTAGATGGTTAATTTAGTACATGACTAGAGAAATATAGAAGATAAGCAACCGAAAAAAAATGACTCGACCGAGTTAGGCGCCCAGTTAGCCGAGTTGGGCGTCAACTCGACCGAGTTAGGCGACCAACTCGGTGCCTAAGGCGCCTAGTCAGCCAGTTAGTCGGCCAACCGACTAAAAATTACCTAGAGTTGAAATCGCCTTGGCCTATGGGCACTTAAGCGGCTGCCTAGACTGATTTTTACAACACTGCCTATAGCCAAATAAGGTAAAATCTGTTTTTCTCAAATTTGTGAAAAAAAAATTATCACAAATATATATATATATATATATATATATATATATATATATATATATATATATATATATATATATAGGTAAACCAAACAGGAGAATTTATTATTGAGTATGAGCTATGTCACCTGAGCACCAAACCCTGCACCACTCATCGGAATTCCACTTGACATATCCATCCCTACCTTCACAAATCACAAACCTTAACACATATGAATAAATCAGTTTACCTTAAAAACCCTTCAAATGAAAACTGCAAAAGAAATCATAAACAATTAAGATTTGACCATTTTTTTTATTATCAATGTTGAAAAAATCACTAGACGCCTGAGGACGACTAGCGCCTAGGCACTCGATTTTTTATTTTTAAAATAACCCCTAAAAAAAACAGCGCACAATGTATATTTGGCCGGCTGGTGGCCTAGATGGCGTCTAGACCGCCTAGACGCCCGGCTGCGTAGAAGGCCGATTCCAAAAGTTGAGTGATCAGATGACCCCTAACAACATATGCTGCTAGTAAACTCTTAAGAAATTACGAAAATTTCAAATAAAAACACGATTAAAAAAAGTTGACATACTTGTGAAAAGAACTTTAGTATGAATAATGTTGAATTCTCTTTGAGATTGAGAGGAAGAAAGGTAGTTGTATATATACACAAATGCAGATAGATAACGTATATATAGTTGCGCGCGCGTCTTAAGAGCAGGGTGGGGTGGGGGTATTAATGGGGGGGGGGGGGAATATAATTAAGAAGAAAGTCAATCTGCGTTTTACTCTAAATCTAATTTTATAATTTCGATTAATTTAGAATTGTGCTACAATTAAATTTTGTATAATAATCCATTATGTCATAATTCTTAAATTGGTCCGTGGCTATCAACTTATTGAATACGGTCCATTGACTATGTCAAAAATTTACTCAAGTTAGTCATGAGTACGTGTAAGTAATGGAGGATAAAGAAGTAAAATTTTACATAGTTGGTGGACCATTTTGTATCAATTGGTAGTTAATTAAGGACTAATTTAGAAATTATGAAATAGTTAACCGACCATTTTGAATATTAATTTCATTTAAAATAAAAAATAGGGAAAATGGCACTTTTTCCCCCTATGTTATATACTTATAGCACTTTTTCCCCCTCAATTATTTATGTAAGTACATTAGCCCCTCAATTATTTTAAAAGTGGTGGTTTTCTCCCCTAATATATTAAATTGACATTTCTACCCTTAAAGTAAACATTTTATTTATTTTACTTCTCCAACAAATTATTGCGTATATGTAGCGATTACCACGGTTCGGTTCGAACTGAAACAGACACTATAGCAATCGAATTAAAAGTTTTCAGTTATGATTCAGATTTAGAACCCAATATTTGGATTTCAATTTATTAAATTTAAGAATAAAAAAAAAAACTGGATCATGAACCGACGGTTCCGGATCCCGTTCGCGATTTTGAACCGTCTTTATTTTAAAATTTTATTTTTTATTTTAAAATAGTTTAAATTCAACAATAAATGTATTTTATTTTTTCAGTTTGGAACATGAACCGGCCATTCCAGTTCGCGATTTTAATAAACTCTAAATATCGCGTTTTGATTATAAATTGTAATTGGAATATTTTGGTTTGGTTACCATAGTATCTGGTTTGAACCAAATTATAGTAATAATTTATTGGAGAATAAAAATAAATGAAATATTTATTTTAAGGGTAAATATGTTCATTTAACATTTCAGGGGGAAAAAGAGCCACTTAAATAATTGAGTGGGAAAAAGTGCTATAAGTATATAACATAGGGGGAAAAAGTGCCATTTTCCCTAAAAAAATAAAAATTTTATACTCAACTTTTCAATTCAACCATAAATGGTTTCCTAATTATTGATTTTGTTCCAAATTTAGTCATCCATTAAGGGTGTCAATTAGGTATGGTACGGGCCCGTCCCCGTTTTCATCCCCGCGGGGATTGAAAATAGTCTCCATTCCCATTCTCGCAGAAAATTAGGCGTCAATGAGGTTTCCCATCCTAGTCAACTTTTAGTCAAAATCTTAAATTAATGTAATTTTTAATTTTAAAAAATAAAAACCAAAGTCTTAATCTAATATATATATATATATATATATATATATATATATATATATATATATATATATATATATATATATATATATATATATAGTGAAAGGTTCCCGTGCGGTTGATTAATGTGCGTGAGTTTTGTACTCAATGTGCGTGAGTCTTGTGCTTAATGTGCCTGAGATTTGTACTTAATGTGCGTGAGTGTATAATGTTAATGTGCGTGAGTTTTGTACTTAAAGGTGTGTGAGTCTTGTGCCTAAGGTGCGTGAGTTTTGTGTTTAATGTGCGTGAGTGTGTACTTAATGTGAGTTGTTGTTGAAACTTTTAAGTTCCTGAGTTCTGTGCTTAATGTGCGTGAGACTTGTGCTTAATGTGCATGAGGTTGTGTATGAGGAGCAGAAAAAACTGAAGAAAGAAGCAAAAAGGAAGGGCCTTGCTAAGGATGCCAGCACAAAACCTAACTCTAAAAAGAAATCAAGCAGTTCAGCTGAGGATCTTTCCTCACCACCTCACAATTATATTAAAGAGAAAGTTGAAGAAGATGATGACGACGATGACATTCAGTGGAAAACTGACACATCAATAGAAGCTGCACAGCAACGTATTAAAGAGCAACTGAATGTTGTAACTGTTGACATGGTTATGCTTTCCACAGATGATACAGAGAGGAAGTTTAAGACTGCTAATAAAACACACACTATTACAATGTTACACTCATGCACATTAAGCACAATACACACACACTAAGTACAAAATTCACGCACATTAATCACCTACATAACCGCACGGGAATCTATACCCGCACCCTTCCCCACACACACA